ATTTCTCAGTTCATCTGCTCGTATGGAGCTAGGTACATAGGTTGTTGTAACATGTTGGGGAACATTATTTAGCATGGCTGCAAAGGCGAGGCACCGGTTGAATCCTGAGTGCCATAATTGTACATCTAATCAACACCTCCCACAGAATCTCAACTGATTCATTCAAAGTCGTTTACAAAGCAAACAGAAACCTACCAAAGGCAGTATGTTTCTGACTTCTTTGTACGGCAGAAGCCCTCACAATATGCATCGAAAAGACGGAGCCGTGAGTTCAAAAGAAACTAGTCCAACTTTCATAACTATCATGGACCTAGTTCTGCAAGTTTCCTTCACATTCGGTTTTTTCTGTTTGCTGTGTGACTGATTTTTCTGTCATTCTCTTCATTCGATTCATCCTATTTTTCAGTTATCGGAACAGAAATTTTAATTTTCTCCACATGATCTCCCTGCTGCATTGAAGAATCTCATTGAGTGGGAGCCGACCTCCCCTAACATCGTGATGGTAATAACAAATTCAGAAGGGAAAGAGGCTGTTATTATGCAATTCCGCACGTCTTTAAAGAATCCAGACCTAGCGCGGGAGCAGGATTTATATGGACAAATGCAAACGGAAATCGATAAGTCCCCCATCCAGATGGCGAAATCGAAATTCCAAAGTTTGATAAGAAGGCAAGATAGATAAGTATGAAGCAACACAGAAATAGAAAGACAGATGTGACCGGTTGAATAACTCGGCTTTTGGAGCCTGTACAAGCACTTTGGTATCAACAAACCAGCATAAGTTTCACCAGACGCATACACCGAAAAACCGGAGAACTTCACCGAAGACTCATCTCATGAGAGGGAAACTACAGACTACTTCAACAAGATCGAGAAAAGGTAAGGATGAATGCTCAGATCACTCTCCTGTGCAATGTAACTCAAGACTAAGGCCCAGAAACAGAAGGACGCAACCATGAAGTAAATCCTGCTGATGACATCAGGAAAATATCATGGACATTATACATCATCCTGGAGGAAGCCTGAGTGCAGAACACTAGAATTATCTGATAGCGAATAGAGGTGGAACCTGTACTGGAATTTCAAGCAAGGGGCACAGAGAAGTCGACGAGCGGCCAATTGTGCTAACCTTGGTGCTTATTAAGTAGAGAAGGATGCTGAAACAGAAAGTGAACCTGCTGGGAGATTTCCAAGAAAGAAAGAGGCTGGATACAAACTTCAAGGCACTGAATATAAAAGTGATGCAGAGTGTTGGGAGGAACGAAAAACCTTACTGAGACGATATAGCAGGCTGTAGACGAGTAATACCTGGAAACCCTACTCCAAATAGATGGGCCAATATCCGGGAGAAGGTCAACACAGTCGAAGCCAGCGAAGAATTGCAAAGAAAACCTAATTGCCAATGAGGTGGAACAGAAGACATCTTGAAATTGCCAGAAGTCTTGAAGGTTATATAAGTCCCGGAATTGTGGAAAGAAAAAGAACCAGGTGAAACCAGCGTGGAAGCAATGAAAATGGACACAGGTTGGATCGAAAAAGACGCTTAAGTTTTGTGTCCCACAAATGTGAACATTTATAGTGAGGTTTTCAGAAGAGGTAAGCATGTCAGGACTTGAAGGAGACACAGAGAAGACGAAGACGCCCAACCAACAACAAAATGCTCCAGTCACCATCACTGGGACAGAATTAATGGGAGTCATCTCAGTCATTTGCCTGTGAGGCGTCGTTTAAATCACGGGCCGCATAGACCAGTTTTTGATGTGGTTGTGTTCTCTGAGCTGGATAGTTAATTTGCGAAGCTTTCATCACCCTACTGGGTGACATCTTCAGCGCATACCGCAATTTGGAGTGAGCTTTTAGATTTCTCCACGAGTTTATTAGTCATCTCTCCTGGCGACCTTGGACCTGATTGGTTGTTTTTGTGTGTTTTCACACCTTCTAGGTTACTTGTATTGTCACTCATTGTTTCCTTGACTTGAACTTTGACCCTTTGTGTGTGACTATTCTTTCTTATCGGTCGATAAATTTTGTCTATTTCGATGTGTCTATTGATTGACGATTCACTGGAATGCCAAGCTTCTAAAAATTCTCTAGCATTCTTGTTGTTTCCTCTGTCTAATATTTGGACATTGTCCCAGTCGAATTGATGCCCGTGGTTGTCTGTATGTAGTGATATGAGGGAGTGGATATCATGTCTTTTGACAGCTAGCTTATGTTCGTGGATACGAAGACGAAGGGGACGTCCACTTTGGCCAATGTAGTGTTTTTCGCAGTTGATACAATCTATTTTGTAGATGATGTTGGTTTTATCTTCCTTTGCTGTTGAGTCTTTTGGTTGACATAGAATTGAGTGGAGTGACTTTGTTGGTTTGTGTACGACGTCAATTCCTAAGGGTTTGAAGAGTCTTGTAGTGATTTCTGAGATGACCAGTACATAGACCAGTACACCACAGTTGTCAATTATGGTATCAGGAGAATTTGGTGTATCCGAAAGATAACTCTCAGGAACTCACAATACATCTTTATGTATGTAATAACCGACTTCATTTCAGTTCAAGCGGTATAAGAAGACGCATGGTAAGACTTATTGAACAAGCAAGTATAAGGCAATATAACAGATTAATGTTATAGTAGCTTGGCTGTGCGATTCGCAGTTGGCTGCCATCAATATACAAAAAGATCTACAAATGACGTCACTATAATACAAATAAATACTTCTGATCGTATTGCTTCGGTCTTCTGTCAATGTCTAGGCTGAGGCAGGGATTGTTGCCTCCAAAGAACAGGAAACTGGTTCGAATGGACATGTTCATTAAACTTACACTCAGTGTTCACCATCACTGACAATAGCTATGATAGGAAAAGCAAAATGGATGTTCATTCCTCTAAAATCAGCTGGAGATCTACGACAACCTCAATAAGTATTAAAACCCAAAAAAGTCAAAATTTATGTCAATCCGTTGCCTCCAAATGGTCCGAAAATTCGGTGAGTTCTGTAAAGTACTTCCAGCATACTAGATGGAGATTTTTAACAACAGTTGCGTTAGCACAGAAAGGATAAGCAATAATGAGTTCTGACAAGTGGCAAATAAGCCATAAACATTTTGATTAGTTAAAAGCAGGGAGAAAACAGTAACTCTCAGGAGTCCACTGTGTAAAATAGCGCTTTAGGCTCAACGGTGGATTTCAAATAGGACGACTGAGGTATCCAAGAGGGAGATGAAGGAGACCATGTAAACAGTAAATAAGAGCTGGTGAGCAGTTGTGGAGCCGGTCTAAAAATTATAATTGTTCCATTCCAAACAGTGTGTTTTGGTTCAATTACGGAATTTTCAGCTTATAATTCGATATTGCATCTAATTTTCTCATCACAGGGGCAATAAACTAAAATAGGGTATTTGCATCAATAATAATTTACATTGATAATATTGTTCAATGTGAAATGAATGTAGAATTGAAGCAAATGAAAATATTAGCGACAATGTAATAATAAGAAATGAGGGTTGCCGAGTAAGTCGGTAATTTCGTGTTTTATAATTTTATCTGGATGTGTGCTAAATAACGTTTCTTAGAGGAGAGAGAAAAGGAAGGAGTGAAGTGGAAATATGATGCTCAAGCTTGATTTTATACGTGTAATCCAGGGAACGAATTACAATAGTCCATTAGGGTTCGAAGTTAACCGGAATATCCACTAATCTTAAGAGTGACGCTAAACCTTGCAGCATCACAAAAATTATAATAATCAGCGTCTCTAATCCTAGATTACCATGATGATCATAGTGGAATGCAGGCCTAGGTAACAATCGGGCGGAATAGGCAGCCACCTGGTTCCAGTCGACGTTAAAAAACTCTTCGCTTATTTAGCTTATTATCTAATGGTCGAAACCAAACGTTTGACCATCACGTCAAAAAGGAAACATTCTGGCTTTTTCGAACTCCAAAAGTCGCTTGAAAATCTTTAGCAAAATACGCAACTCTCTAAGGTCAGTCGGATTCCCAATGTTCTTGCTAAACATTAGGGATGCAATTAGTTTGCTCAGCTAACCATCAGCTTAATAAAATTGGAAAGCACTTACTCAAACTGTATTTCTCACAACCACTCTTTATATTTTAACTCATTCACTTAGATTCATCATTTAGTTTACCCTTTGATAAGACGTGCGTTGTCTACAAATAAGCACCCTACAGTTAAGTGACAGCGCGCATATATACCACCAAAATACCCATGTAGTTGTTCTGTGTAGACAAACGCGAAATAATAAACTACATTCGGGACCTACAAAATACGATGAATATTTCAAGATCGGTTCTGTTGAGCAAGGATGAGAGTTTGGCGAACTACTGATCGTGCTCTAATAACGGATTGCAGCATGACAGCATTCTAAATTATCACTATCCTTGTGCGGCCGCCATCAACTTAATCAGCTGCCCTAAACAGTGTAGGTGAACAATCAGTTTGGAGGGAAGGAGGCTGAATGCTGGTAATTTTAAGTAATTACTTACTGCTACCCCCATCTTGTGTTCACGGACACACAAAATTTCTCTTTAACCATTCTTATTTTCCGACTTCTGCTGCTATTGTTACCTTATTTTGCTCAATAAACTTCACAGACTAATTCGCAGAAATACGATCACAAACAACAGCAGCACCATACTCTTAGCGTTATCCATAAGTTTCCTCGCAAACAGATCCACTCTTCAGTGCCACTGGTTCCCGCAAAGCTGGGACTTTATCAACCCGGCAGGAATTCACAGGAGATCAAAGGCTTTAGAAAACCATCAAGAATTGAGCCTTCGAAAAGAATGCCAGGTTCCTGAACGTTTAATTACACGTGAAGTGGTCATACAATAATGAATGCAATCCCAACGCTTGGAATTCTTTGAAAGCCAATGACTTCCGTAGAACCTTATGTTTGTTAGAAATAGCATATCTCTGTTATTAATGCTGAATTTTCATATTAGAAGAAAACCAAAATTATCTTTTTCTTTTACTGGATGTGTATAAACACCGCGTATCTCAAAACTTTGTTGTCACTCGATACGGCGTGAGTTCATCATTTTATTTTATTCATTCCTCATTTCCAACTATGAGTATCTATTTTTTCCATCAAGATGTTTGTAAAAATAATACTTATTCTTTTTTAAAGTATAATGGTTTCTAACAGTAAAGTCAGATATTGTGCTGTTTGCAATAAATACTTGGAGACATTTCACGTTTGTTACTTTTTAACGGTTAAAATCTCTAGCCTTTGTGGGAGATGGAGGTTATAGTCGAGTACGATTATACGGCAGAGGAGAGCGATGAACTCACCATTAAGAAAGGGGACATTATAAAGGATGTTTCTCAGTTTGAAGAAGGATGGTATATTGGTTCTCTGAACGGTCGTATAGGAGTTTTTCCGGATAACTTTGTTAAGGTAAAACATTTTTTATCTCAATAATGCTTTCAGATAAAACCGTCGATTCAGCCTAAAATATCAGTAAGTTATACATTGTCTAATTTCCAAATATTCGCATAACATTTCTGGATGATGATACACTATAGATTTATTCATTGAATTCTTTAACTAGCTGGTTCCTTGATGCGATTTCACAAAGACCATGAATACCTGTTCATAATAATATGATACAATAATATGTATATATAATCATTTTGTCCTGCTCAGTATTAACCATCCTATATTTTGATTTATTTGAGTCCAGTAGAATTGCTGGAAAACATCCACCAGTCTGAGGTATCCTTATCATTGTTTCGTACCACTCACAAATTCAGTAAACGCTTTTTTAAATTGTGTTATCTACACAACTATTTTAATAATAGCGTAGTGAAAACTTTTGAGTTTAAACAAAATTGAAAGTGCTGTTGTAACATTTTATTTTAAGTTCAGAATTTTTAGTATGTAGCGTTCTCCTCAGTAATATGGATCACTGTTAGTTACTCCGAAGAGAGAGAAATCGAATGAATTGTGGGAGATACCCCTTTGTGGAATTTCACTATCATATACTCTGCTTTTCTGTCACCAGTAAAGCCAAATTTCCAGTTTTCAGAACTTACAGGTTAACAATAATATGTGTATTGGGTAGTTGAAATCTTCCAAACAAACCCATATAAATTATTATATATATATGTACTGTATTGTCTAGGCATTAGTATGCACTAGAAGTCGTTCCACCATCTGCTATATCTCGTATGTTATTTTTTACTTTTTGTTTGACATTTATTATGTACTTATACCAACACTTCCTGCACTTGGAGCTCATTAATTTTCGGCTATTGTCTGTGTCCCTAGAATATCCTGATATTTTATCACAGATAGTACTAAGTATCTAAGAATTGTCTTTTAAATAAACCATCAAAAACATATTCTGTGTACATCAATTGTATTGCGAGATCATTTAGTTAGATATCCTTACGTTTCTCAGGTGATAAATGTGTAGATTGTGTTGGTTCTTTTGGCTTAAATTGTGAAGTACTAACTCATCTTAGTTTATTGAAGAATTGATGCAAGATCAGTTTTCAGTAGTAAAGTTGAAGAAATGTTTCATACTTCATTAATTAAGGGTGTTAAGGTTTAGTTTTGAAGGCAACGCTTAGAACCGTTAAAAATTAATATTTAATTTTGGGTTTCTGAACTATTTTGTCATCAACCAGAGACTGTGTTAGACACAAAGGATGATAAATGATATGAACTACAAATGCTGATGTTCCACAAATACTATCACTAATTTTACTAAAGGGTTTGATGGATGTGTATGAAAATAAAAGCATCATTCCAGTTGAAAGACTTTCTTACGCTCTGTGTGTTTTGACGTTTCCAGAAAGTGTACGAACCATACACATATAGTAAAGTGATGAGAAATTTCAACTTCATAAAGTACATGTACCTGATATACTGTGGAAGGCTTTGATCTTAGCAACTAACCGAACTTATTGCTAAGTTGGACTCAGAGGAAATAGTCATCATTTGTAGTCATAAATATATTTAGGGTAAGTCCAGAAAAACCTAGTCAAAACATGTCAGATAGCAAAGTAGCAATAAGTATCAAATCAAAAACTATTATATCTTCATTTAAAAGTGGAAAATTACTCTGAATATTCTATTCAATAGCATATTTTACATCACGGTTTACGATAAAAATATTCATTGTTTTCGGGTACTTGTCCTTCTCTAATAAGTGTAAGTGTATTTAAAAACAAATTTAACAAACTAGAAAGCCTTTTCCGGGATTGCTGTTTTTTATTTATACTGTGGGGATAAAATGGTATTGTGAGCACATATTTTTAATATTACTATTTTGAGACTACGTAATTACTGTCTGGCAGCCTTCTGCTCATAACTAGCTGTTATGCGTTTGGCCGCATAGCATGTGTGCTGTAAATCGCTTACTTCTGCCTCTGAGATTTTAGGTGAATTAGCAGCCTACCTAATGGTGTAGTTAACACAAGAATGTTTCATTTCTAGATATCAAAATGATAATCATAAAAGTCTTACTGCAACGAAGTTTTCGCACTGTATAAACTATGTTGTGAAGCTAAATGACATTGAATATCCACTCAGGCTAAAATAAATGGAACGAATCTAAGTTCTCTTTCAGAGGTCTCAAACCGAATAGCTGATGTCGGGCATTTATTTAGAAACTCATATGTCACAATTTTTATGCGTAAAATAAACAAAATATCTTTGGCGAAAAATTTATTTTAGTTAAACCTATCTAATAACACAAATTTTCAGCTAAACTACAACCTCAGTTTGCCCGATGTAGTATTTATCTCATACTGGATATTCTGATTTCAGTATACACTACTATCTGTAACTAATACTCCCATTAGTTTAATTATTATCAATTGTCCCTGGATTTTTTCTCAAGTTCAACAAGAATAATCAATATAAGTGTATGCAAGCATACTGTAATTATATTTATTCAAGTAAATTAACCTAAGGGGTTTGCATATGTAAATTCCTGAAGTTGGCAGAGTCCTAGTAAAATGCTGGTCACAAATTATGATATATTACTGAACATAAATGTTTTCTGAAGATACAGAAAATTCAGGAACTCACTCTTTCGAAGTGCTAGTTATCTGTTGGGGAAATATAAATATTTCATGTACATTTTATATGACGCTTAGTGGAAATGTATGTAAATATTAGAAGTCTCTACTGTCTTTTGAATTCAAATATTTACATTAGATAGCATGCTTAAAAGACTCGTTTTTGAATTTTTAAGGAGGTAAATGTGAAGTGTTATTGTTTTATTCCTCCACCCTGGTTCCCAGGACGTTACTGGATTGTTAGGTTTGATACTGGTTAGTCCTGTGGAGAAAAACAGGGTACTACATATCATGTGGTTCGTGATGTCCAGAAATTTACTGTCCTACCAGGCTGAAATATATTTCACATAGCAATCCCATCATAGAGTAAATTTATTTTATAGAATCACAGTGATATACGGTATCGTTTCATAATGAAGTTTCTAGCCTTGATATGATTACGAGCAATAAATTGTGCTCGAAATATCATCAGTAAGTAATACTACAAAAAATTGTGAGTTTTTCAAATAAATTAACTCTATGATGGAGTTATACTCTACCACGCTGCCCAAGTTTTGTTCTTATACCCGTATAATAATCCTGTGACGATTACTACACACTTTCATATCTTGAAGTATGCAAACTTTCGTACCCAATTTAAGTGGAACCTTTAGGGGAAATTAATTCCAGGGCTGCCCATATTACACTTTAAGAAAAGTTACCGTTAGAATTTCGAAGGTGATGGTTAAGAATATTTTCACTTCAGTGTAAAGTCTGTGGACTGTAGTAGGGTTTATGAGCATTATTGAATCTCGATATAAAAGTTTTGAAAAGTTTTTCAACAAGAAAATATCGTCTCATTGTGCGCTATGTGGATTTAATATAAAATTTCGCCTGATGTATTTTAAATCAAAATGTATGTATATAGATTGAAAAAGTGTTATGCTTAGTCCAAATGTTTGTTTCCCGAGATAACACCAGCAACAAATGAGTCTTTAAGATCACAGAGTTATTTAAGATATCCTTCGGTATCACCGATGCAAAAAATGTATGTACGTTACCGTCTAGTTATTTTAAATATAATTGATGTACTAACCTTTTAAGTGAAGCCGTCTCCAAACGGCCAGTAATATTATGTTTTACTCTGCAGGAGTGATTAAAGTGTGTAATTACATGATTGTAGTGTAACAATTAATTTGGCAGAATAAGATACCTTTATAATACTCTGATAACAGCTAGACCAATGCAGTAATCACTGAATCCAGAATTCAATTCTTGTTGAATTTCTTATGAAAGCAAAATACTTTCCGTAAGAATTTATCCTCTCCCAAATAGGCGTAACATATTTCCATAGAAAAAATACTAAGTGAAAAGGCTATTACATATGTCACGGAATTTTATTAGGGAGTAGTTTGTTTGAAAATTTTCAAAATGACCACAAGTATATCACCAGGATGTGTTAACTGATTTAAAAGATGGAAAGACAAAAGCATACTATAATATCTCATGACTAGGATTATCTATTACACTACACGAACGAGGGATGTGTAAGAGGGAAGCGAATCGTATGGTGTTAGCACACCTGTGTGCTAAGGAGCTTCCTTATGAATAACTTCAATAGCTTAGTTCATAATAGACAGCTTTTAATTCAACTATACAGATTTTAATACGATTACTGTGAACATTTTCAATGAGGCTTCCAGTGAATAAAAACTATCAAAATCACAGCTTTTGACTAACTGGCTCTAGTCATATTTTAATCAATCAATAATCACTGATCTCCATGCGAGTTTTCTCGTCGTAATGTATTTAAACTGAAAAAAAGTACTTAGGAACAGAACGGGAATATCAAAGCCAATAGTATTATAAAAAGTAATCTGTAAACTATTGTTTGAGAAGGGAGGTTTTTCGTATCATAAGTAAGCAGGTATGCTACGGGTTTATTCATCTTCATTTGACCTTTATATTTCTTTTTAACCATGCATCAGACAGACATATTTTGAATAGCGAATTCTGAGAATAGAGGCAGGACGAATTACAGTATTAGCGAAAGTCAATTATAGGTTAATATTTGTACCAACTTAACAAATGCAATAATTAAGTGTTAGTTTGTGGGATTTTAATCACAGATCGATATCAGTTAGAGAGCCATTGAAAACTATGAAGTTTGAGACTTTTTGGCAGTACTCACCCATGTTCCCATCGGGGATCAAACGCACCAGAGCTTCAGCTCCCGAGGCGAATTTGGTGACTATTCAGTCGCTGAAGGTCCACCAGGTCAGGTGTGAGGACAAATATTCACCAATGACATTGGATGGCGACGTAGCCAAAAATCGTGAAATGAAAGAAGTTAGCATTCATCGGCTGTTGGAATCTATCCCAGTGGCTTAATGATCAACGAGCTAGCCTTGTTAGCTGAATGCAGTTGGTCATAATTTGTTTGTAATGTAT